GTCCTATACCTAGCCTTGTGATATACTGCTATTTTCTAGTGTTGAAATATCATTATTAATTGTTTAAATAGGTAAATGAACTTCTTCGCGATGTCTTCGATTTCCCACCAAAACAGCTGCCTGTCAATGAACCATACCTATTTGAAAGAAAAGAGGTTGGTTTGATTTTAATTTTTACTGGTTCCCTTTTCAAAAAGCTTTTTGATTACCTTTTTTTTATTGTTGAGTTTATGTCTACCTTACGCTTGGAATTGTAGGTCGTTGTTCGTTTATACTGTCCTAGAATTACAGCAAAAGGAAGTAAAGGAAAAATTCGGAAGGTACTTCTCTAAATTCATTTGTGTTACTATATCATGTTTGTGTATTCAGCCATGGTTTTTTTCCCTTAAATATATTTCAATACTAAAGGAATTTGATGTGGAGCAAAACAAGCATGAGCAAGTTGTGCACAATTTTTATTGAGAATATACCCCTAAAAATTGTTGTGTATTGCTATTAAATTTGTTGTGTTTGGTTGTATTAAGTTTCTCATATTTTTAATCTACAGGCTAGAGACAAGGCAGAGACGATATTATTAAATAGGAAACGTGACGTCAAAGGTATCTATCTTATTTTCATACCATCTTGCACTGTACTATTTTTTCCCTTTAGTGGGAGATAAACAGAGATTAATCACAAAAGTAAAAACACGGTAGTTACTTGACTAAACATTTAACCTTCAAATTCACTTGCTGAAGCTCTCTGTAATGACCTACTACACCTGCCTTCTTTATTAGATGTTACCCCAATGCAGTTTGATTTGAATTGGAAAACATGAGGGTTACTATGAGCCCTTTTCAAAGATGCTAATCGAAAATATAGTTACAATTTTCCATTTTTTGAAATTAGATTTCAAAATGAGTAATATTATATGGACTTGAAAAGTATATTTAATAATCTTAACCATTGATTTCACTGTGGGTCCCAATATTTATTGAGATCCACTACCTATTCAATAGTTGAGATTATCAAGTCTAATTTTTAAATTCATCTAGCATTACTCTTTCAAAACTATTAGCTTGATGAATGTTTAATTTAGGAAGCATTTGTGTGCAGCCATGGCTCTTGGGCTATCAGATGATTGATGGTGGAACTGAATCGGACATGGCGATCACAGTGGTAGCGTTTGTTATACAACTGCAGCAAGCAATCAACGGCAGCCAAAAAATCTATTTAATTGTTTTTCACTAAACTTAGATTAGTGTTGGTATTTTATTTTATTACGGACAAAAAAAATTATTTTTCTTGTTATTCCACGTTTGACACTCCTAATTTTTGAATATTACTAAGAGTAACTAAGCAATGCACGATATCTTGATATTATAATTATAACATTTATAGTAAACTATGGGTTGCGAAGAGGTGGCACAAATGGACGTTGTGGATTAGTCATTATCTTAAGGTAATGAATTTACGGCTTTGTCTCAGAGTCATCAAATAGATAAACTTGCTTGTATGCAATGCAGTGAGAACAATCATATGAATGAATACGCAGTCCTGATTCTAAGTTTAATTAAGGACACCCTAAATAGCCATAAATTCTGTGTGAACACAATTGCTATGAAACTCCCTCAGGATCTAGATGTACATATAAAGGTTTTTTAACTTCTGTTATTTTTATTTCCTAAAATATGAGGTTTATCTTATTTTAGTCTCCAATATTTCAATTATATTATTTCAGTCCTTGAAATATTGAATACATTTCTATGTGGGCCCTCCACCAGATTCCTAATAATTTTTAATTGTAAACTTGTCATGTAATTGGTGCAACCGTGTCTATTTTTAAAAGAAACATATTGAAAGAGAATGACCCAAACCAATTACAAAACTCACCACCATATTTCAGGCTTGTCCAACAAAAAATAATGCAATAACCCAAGTTTCATTATAACAAATCCTAGTTTCTATGCAAAAAATCCATCAAAATTGATAAATCTTCAATTTAAGCCATCAGGAAAATAATTACAGCCCAATTAAGCCAAAAATTGTAAATTATTTTTAATCCAAAACTTAATTTAAGGCCTAATTCGTCAAAGTTGTCTAAAATTCAGAGGTGGGCTTTGGCAATTTACCTACGAAAGTTCAAGTGTGCACTCTAATTTGCTCAAAGCAATGCAATTGCAACAAATCCTGAAAACAGAAAACTCAGTAAGCATAACTTTCAAGCTAGAGAATCCTTAAAGGGGAACCTACATTTGTATTTAAATGTGTGTCCGATAGAGAGAGATAACCACAATTCATGACTTGGTGCGAAGACTAAGATATTCTTGAGAGATAAATATTTCATGACTTGGTCCCAAGGAATTGTCCAGATTCAAACTCAACTCATGACGTCTGTCTGGATTTACGGTTCGTCCCTATTGCTACTTGAACTATCCTTGGGAATAAATCTTCAATTTAAACGATCAGGAAAAATAATTACAACCCAATTAAGCCTCTATAAATTGTTTTTAATCTAAAAAATCCAAAACTTAATTTAAGAAGTGGACTCTGGCAATTTACCTAGGAAAGTTCGAGTCTGCAATCTAATTTGCTCAAAGTAACGCAATTGCAACAAATCTAAGAAATAAAAAATTCGTGAGTATAACTTTCAAGTAAGAGAATCCTTAATGCAGAAACTATATTCGTATTTAAGTGTGTGTCCAATAGAGAGAATTTCCAAAGCTTTGTTGTCGCCGCCTTCTATGAGGCCACCGAGGAATATCTAGTGAGTCTCTTCCAGGACACCATCTGTGTGCCATACAGGGGGATCTACCTTAGAGCTTGAGTGGGCAGTTGCCCCCACTCACCTTTCAACAACCCACATGTTTCTTGTGTAAAACGTCATCACTTTTTTTATATATTAAAAAAATTAATATATAAGATAACTTCAATTAGGCTTTGTAAGGAAATTAGTGACAACTTTGTGATATATTCTTTTACGAACATTACTGAGAAACTTAGTATAAAATAAATTATAGACAATTGTTGAGATATTTAATAAACTTTATATTTTCCAACCAGGAAATCTCAAAGAAGGTCTTGCATCACTTGGTAATTTCTTGACGGATGACTGTCTTTCGAACACTATGAAGGTAATGTGTTTAGAAGTAGCATCATTTCTAGAAATTGACACCAATGTTTTGAAATATAGTTATGTGTGTGACCGACTGTCTTTCGAACACTATGAAGGTAATGTGTGTCTTTAAGCTTGTGCACATATGAATGATTATGCATGTCTTTATCCGAATCCAACTCTAATTAAAAATTGGACCCAAATTCGATTCAAAAAATATGAATAATTTCATTTTCACAATATAAATTTGATTTCGTTTCCTCAAATTATTACTTAATTTCGTCTTAAAGGCAGCATGTAACAAATAAAAACCGCCAATTAGAAAACATAACCATATTTCATGGAATGCACGGACAAATGACTCTATCTTAATTCAATATTTAAAATCCCATAAAAGTCAAATCATGTTGAAATAAAAACACAACTTATCCATATGATAAGAAATGATAATAACAAAAGTGAGGATTATATAGTAATACAATACGGTACAAAAACTGTTGTGTAGTCTACACATTAGCATACCCATAAAACTGTTGAGATATAGGAGTTCAATGTCAAGGGCGGAGCTGTGTGTATAGGCTACCAAATATCTACTGTTATGGCAACAAAATTATGACCAATTTATCTTATCGTCCCTTCAATTTTCTGGAAAATTGTAATAGTTCCCCCAGTCTTTTATATCTGTAGTAAGTTAGCAGTTCACTTGTCTCTTAATCTACTAAAATAATTAAATATTTCATTGTTGGTTGCATTAATTGTTATTTAGTCTTTGATCTTAATATATTTCTCATAGGCGAACTTGGGAATTTTTGTGTGAAATTTGCACTTAATTTAGTTCTTATAAATGGACATGCAAGAAAGTTTTTTTATACTAACTGGTTATATTTTATATTCATGTTTTTGCACCCACTAAAATAGAATCCTAACTCCATCCCAGTTACATGAATGTTCCATCTCAAGCATTAATAAACACCAAGGGTATGTTTGGTTCAGATACAAATAAAGGATAGGGTTGGATAATTAGTTCCCATTTTATCCACAAAATTGTGTTTAACAAGAATATTATTATGTTTAGATTAAGTGATTGTGTACGTTATTAAATTAAAAACGACAAAATAAATATTGAGGGTAAAAATTTGCATAATGTGTAACTTTTATATGAAAGTGTGACTCTATGTTTGCAAAGACAATAAAGTCTTTACATTTTTAACACTTAACTTGTTAAAAATAATAACACGTGCTGCATGGTATTTATTACTGCTTAATATTTGGTGTTAAATGACAATAGTAAACTAGGCCAAAATTGATTAAAATTAATACCAGATCGCTTACCTAGGAAAAAAAAGGCTACAATGCTTTCATCCTCATGTACCAACCAAGATGCAAAACATAGCGTAATATCCCAATCAATGAATAATTTCAGAAAAACAATAGGCCGCCACGGTGACCACAATAGGTTCACTATAGTTAGATGTGGGTTTGGCATTATGAACAAGGGATCATTTAGCAGAAAACAATTTTCTATGCGCAACAGAACAGTGGAACTGGTTCATCATGGCTACGTGCTACTGTTTAACATTGGTTTTGCCGATACATCCATGGGAAGTGGGTGTTCCATGCTCAGGGGCTTCTAGATACATGAGTTCCTAATAATTGTTATGTTCATATGTTGTTCTAAAAGGTCTGTGTACTTTTCGTCATTTAAGGTGATGCATCTTATGATTGTGAGGAAATCATCATGTCTCACCTCTTAAAACTTCCAAGAAAGCAGTTGTGAAAGTAAAAACTCATCAGGAACACTTCATATAAACATTTTTGGATTCTTCAGGTTTTCAAAATAACTAATATAATTTGTTCCTGATATCATATCTCATTCCAACAGAAAGAAGAATCAGTTATGCGTTACCTTTTCGAAGCCTTGCGATCCACCATGGTAAGGATCTGGGACTTCGGTTTCATTATGCCTCTTACAATAGGAGCACGTTAACCTAACCTGCATATTCAGTATCCAAATATAAGAGTAGCAATCCAAAATACACTATTACACCAACACTACTTAACCAACCTTCTTATGTGCATCAGCAGGTAAGGTCTCTCTATGACTCCACCTCTCAAAAGCCCCAAGTTTATCCTCTACACACAATCAGGAAAATTCAAGAAAAGTAAACTAACAACCAAACATAGACACAAATATGTCACTCACAAACACCCCCCCAAACACACAACACACACACTCTCTCCCTCTCTCTCTCACAGACACACACAAGCAAACAATAGTGGATGGGCATTTCACAAAGCACCATCCAATTCTATTCAACACACGCAGAATAAAAGGATGAATATAGATATATATATATATATATATTTCAATGCTGTAATTCGAGTATACCAACTCAAATCATCCCACCTCTGTTTTAAGTTTCCTCGGTTGATATTAGTGTCATCTTTAAATGCTTTCCACACCATATGCTTGCCTAATACACATACTCAACATATAAAGTTATGCCATGACAAACACCCAACAACCTAATCAAGTGAATATACAGTGGAACGGAACATACACCTTGGTACCAAGGGCAAGAAATTGTCCTAGACATCCTGATATGTCTGGCTCCAGGTATTTTCCAGCCACATGCAAAATGGTTTTGTTCAACATGCATTGAGATACGTCCAGATAAGTGAAATCTTCCCAGAATATCCAATTTGGTGTTAAGGCATGAAATACGATGAACAATACAAACCATTCAAAAAAGCATACAGGAGCATCACACTTGGAACTGTAACCTTGATAAACTTTAACGCGAGGTTGTCTTCCAAATGTCCAAGGCTATGTTGTCAACTAAATAACTGTCATAAAGTCTTTCAGCAGATTTAAGCCACTTAGTTGCCTAGGGTAAAGAGAGCTTGTATCCCACAACAAAAAATTAGGAACAAACAAGATTATTTACATACTCGAGAGGGACACTCTTCCCATTACCGATTAGTTTTGAATTAGATGCTCTAATACGGTATCAAAGCTAGGCCTCTTACAATTGTTCTTGTAATCTAAGGACATAATGGGCTATGAATGCACAAGGTTGTCAATTTCCCACAATACACAACTGGCATTCTTCCCCACTTACAACTGTAGAGTCCCGTCTTAGCCATAACTATCATGAGGGTTGTGTCCTAAGCAGACTAAAAGTCCAAAATACAAATGATTTTTGATTTACAAAGAAACTAAGAAATAGTAAGGTCAAAAAAATTAATTTCAACAAACAGTCAGCTGGATACTGTTAGGGATTCAACAAAAGGGGAGGCTTTGGTCGCTGGTCTGGATCGTTGGTCTGGAACGATGTAGGGCAAAACAAAAGGGAAAAAAATAGAAAATGCCCAAAAGTTGAAAAAAATCTCACTTTAATAGAAATGAAATTAAACCAGCATTCAAGTTTACTAACCTAACAATCCAATATATACAGAAAAAAACAAAAAAACAAAAAAATTTCAGATCGAGAGAAGAGAGATTGAAACCTGATTCAAGCTCTCACTCTGGAATTCAAAGATTGCCAATTAAAGCTAGGGTTACTGCTTCTCCACAATGCCGATTCAAGCTACGGTTCCGGAGGTGAGGTGTTGATGGTGCCGGAGGTGGTAGCTGTCTTTAGTTCGGATTGAGAGATAGAGAGAGAGAAGGAGCTAACGAAGTGTAAAGAGAGGGAACAAAGAGCGGGGGAATGAGATAGAAAAACAAAGAGAGAGGAGAGGTGAGTGAGAGAGAGAGTGTGGAAAGTGGAAAGGGGAATGTGAAGAAGGGGCCGTAGGGCCAAATGGACGTATTTAAATGCTCAAAACGACGTCGTTTTGAGTATAAATTGAATTCTGCTACAGATATAAAAACGTCTTTAAATATTAAATTTATTTAATACAAACATAAAAATTATTATCTGCGACGTATTCCTAAAAACGTCACAAAAAAATATTAATATTTTATTTGCTTTAATAACTAAAATTTATCAATTCCCGCCATCCCACGGGCCAAAAAAAATTGTGAGGGAAAAAAAGAAATTTGCGACAAAATTAAAAAAACGTCGCAGATAGTAAACATTTAAATTAATCAAATAAACTTTATATTTCATTCAATTAACACCTAATTCATCAAATTAACATTCAAATTATCAAATTAACATGTAATTTCATCAAATCAACATCAAATTAACTTGTAATTTCATTCAATTAAAATTTAATTTAACAAATTAACACCAAATTAACATTCAATTCATCAAATTAATACCAAATTTCTTCTAATTAACATTCAATTTTTTTTTATAAGCATTTCATTTACTAAATTAACATTCAAATTCAACTAGTTAACATTAAATTAATCAAATAAACTTTCAATTTCATTCAATTAACACTCAATTCATCAAATTAACATTCATAGGTGAATGAACTCTCTAATTAAATTAAATAAAGACTTTGCGAGTGATTAATGGACTGGTCAGATAAAACATATACATGAACCTCAGATCTCTTGAGCTCAGATATTCATTGTTAGTGCAATATCACTTGGTTAAACAAGAAAAAAAAATCAATAATGCTATTACTGATTTAATCCACGATAGTTCTTGGATTGACAGTGAAGTTCATTGAGTAAACCTGATGTCAGCCACTATTATTTTTTAAGGAGAATTACACCCAAATTCTTTGAGGTTTGACACTTAACCACTTAGACCTTATGATATTTAAAATATTACACACAGGCTCCATGGGTTTGTACAGACGTAACACTAAGACCCCTGCTGTCAATGTTCATTAGTATATTCGTTAGTAAATTACACACAAACCCCTTAAAGTTTTTAGACGTATAAATACTTAAACTCATCAAGTTTAAAATGTTATAATAAGATCAAAAATACTCTAATCAAAAATAGAATATCAAATATTTTAAATTTTAAAACAAAAATTCATGTTCTATTGTATCATTTATTGAAATAATATTAAAAAAAAATTTAATTTTTTATTAAAAAAATCATAATTAGTATACAATTACACCATTTTAACGGGTGTAATTTTCACGTGCTCAACGTGTAATCAATCAATCAAAAAACCTAACTGTCTATCCATGTGAAAACCAAAGTGACATGAATTGAATACTTTAGAGATCAAATTGATAAAATTGATACATGTAGAACTAAACTGAAAATAAATATATATTTTACGGATGAAAAGTACTATAAACTCAATTTTTTTTTCTCTCTTATCAATTTGACCCCGTCAGCAATCCAACTGCGTACAACCACCATTTGAATTTAATTACTTGATTATTATTGTTTTGGGCAAGTAATTATTTGATTGTTTACGTTGTTAAATAGGCTAGAAAACTCTACTTTAATAATTGGGCAAATAGTAGTTTGCACCCCACAAATATTAAAAATATTTAATTTGTATCCTCAAAGATCAATTGTTTCAAATTGCACCCTCAATTATATAAATTAGTAGCAATATGACCCCAATCATAATGTTTGTTGGGATTTTCATCAAATTGTTTATCACATTAGATGCATGAGATGACTTTTGTCAGATTATGACGCTTCTTCTATTCACGTACGTCTCACATGTTTTCAATCCAATAAAAATCGCCCTAGATGTTGATGGGTCAACCCCAAATGACACAATTTATTCGGAAAGTCTAATCTCAACTTAAGAGCCCAACCTTATAAACACCTACCAAAACCAATATGGTCCAAGTCTAGTCAAAATCATTAGCTTGACTACGTCATCAAGAGAGAGCATGGGAACCTTTCCTGCACCGCCGAAGAAAAAGTTCACTCTCACCTCATCCTTGACCGCATCTCATGGAGAGCGTCTCAACCACCTCGCCCGTTGAGAGGAAGTCATGAGCTCCACCGAAATAGTTGCTGTAAAGTAGCCCCAACCCGTTAGGGAGCCACTATAAATTGTACACCCCACCAACACTCGGGGGACATCATTACACTTTTACCCGAACACGACTTTCTCCTCTCCCTCAAGGCTTGTACTCTTAGCTCCCTACACCCTTGAGCTAATAAAGTGCCCGGCGACTAAAGCCATTCAAGAGTGAATGTAGATCACGTTGACCGAACCACTACAAATCTCGTCTCTTCCATTTCTCTTTACTTTAATTACTGCCTTTATTTTCATTCACTTGACAGGTGGTGTGCAAATCGATTTTGTGCATCATCAGTTTCGCATCGTCTGTAAAAAAATGAAAAAATTCTCACTTCTAAACATGTCATTTGTTGAACCAATGGTGATCACTACCAGTCCATGAACCAACCTGAAGACAATCTTCCACAAGACGAGGAGTTTGCTCCTCCACCTACCAACCTTGTCCCAAATGCTCCAGCTCTGAATCCTCAACCAATGTTGGAGACCATGCAGCAGTTGGTGGCCCAAAACCAGCAGATACTGTAACTTAGGCTCGCCGGACAAGGAGCACAACTTGAAGGGTCACAGCTTGGAGGACCTCAAGGAGCTTCACGCTCTGGACATCAAGGAGCTCCACACCCTGTTGCTCCACATCTAGGCACCCATACAGGTCTGCGCGCCCCTTAGGAGTCTCCTTGGGCGCCCCACACAGGGGAGCCCATTATGAGGGATTTCTACATCCTCCCCTTCTTGCTTCCCATGGTGAAGACCTTCATCCCCAAGAGGATAAGGGCGAGAACCAAAGGATGGAGCATGAGAGTCATTCCCATGACCATTTCAGAGGAGCCCCCAATCATTGGGACAAGAAAATCAAGGAAGTGCAAAATCAACTAGGAAACGTCTTTAACGCCATGAAGACGCAGGGACCCAAGACAATGGACTACCTATAGTTCAAAATTACCCCCTGCCTCAAAAGTTCAAAATGTCATCCATAGAGAATTTTGATGGAACGAAGGATCTACTAGACCACTTCGACACCTACAAAACCCTGATGTAGCTGCACAATGTCCTAGACGAAATTATGTGCAGGGTGTTCCCAACCACCTTGAAGGGATCCGCACGGCAATGGTTCGCTAAACTCTCCCCATCCTCCATTGCCTCTTTTGCTGAGTTAAGCAGGTCGTTCGTGTCACATTTTATTGGAGGGTGTCGCCATTGGAAGCCAATCACCCATCTGCTTAGCATAAAACTGGACCAAAAGGAGAGTCTGAGGAGCTACCTCACTCGTTTTAACGAAGAGGTACTCCAGGTTGATGAGCCCGATAACAAAGTGATTATTACTGCCTTCTTGGGAGGGCTCTGCTCGTCAAACTTCCTTTCCTCAATGATGAAGCACCCACCAAAGAGTATGTCGGAGCTACTAGCAAAGGCCCAGAAATACATGAATGTTGAGAACATCACAAGGGTCAGGCAAGGTGAGTCCTCTAGAGTAGGGCAAAAGAGGAAGGAAAGAGAGAGGGACGACAAGAAGGAGACTAGCAACAAGCGCAGCAGAACAGAGAGGATTCCCGTCAAAGATCGACTAGGTCCTGCTCCTCAGAAGAACCGACAAGCCTTAACTCCCCTCAATGCCACTGTCGGGCACATCCTATTCCAGATTCAGGATGACTTCGCGATAAAATGGCGGGGGAAGATGAAGTCTCCTCTAAATCATAGAAATCCTAACAAGTATTGTCGCTTCCACTACGATCACGGTCATGACACCGATGATTTC